AAGGCCTTATGCTTAGTCCATCAAAATTGGTTACTAAATGGAGGAAACACGGGCATCGTGTGTGGATTTTTGGTGCTCCCTAAGTACAAGTCATATCTCGTATAGATATGTGCACATGTGTACACTTTGAGCCAACAGGTCACTTCCTATAGAATTGGTTATCATTTACCTGCCTTGCAATAGTAATTTTGAGGATTTAGGACCTTGCCCTTACAAACTACATCATGGTGTAGACCAACATTCTTTTTGGGCAATCTGCTTTGGGCAACTCTCTGACCTTAACAAGGTTAATCCTATTAACCTTCTATGGTTGTTCCATATTCCCAGGACTAAAAGGTTTTGGGCTCCACTCCCAAGCCTATAGCACTGAACTCGAGTGAGTCAACAGCAGTATAGACACAGTTGAGTCAACTTGGGATATGACTTGCTCCCTAGGTACAAGTCATATCCCGTATATACATCTGCACATTTGCATAATGGTGTAGGGGGACCTCTCTTCAGCATTTGTATGCCTTGACCCAACAGGTCACATCCAATAGACGTTGTTATCATATTGACTTGCCTTGCAATAGTAATTTTGAGGCCCTTGCCCTTACAAGCCACCAATATCACCTTCGAGACCAACATTCTCCTCGGCCAATTACCTTGGGCATCTCTTAGACCTTAACGAGGCTAACCCAACTAACCCTCTATAGTTGTGCCATATTCTCAAGGCTAAAGGGTTTTGGACTCCACTCCCAGGCTTACAGCACCAAAAAAGTCCGTCGATTTTTCATTTTTGAAAAATCGACCGATTAACTTGGAGTCGATCCTCGGCCGATCTTGAGTTTGCCTGATTCCATAGGTTTGTATTGGGCAATTTTCATTCAATGTGCTAATCAACCAATTTATTGTACAAATTAGCACTTATCGGCTGATTTGTGCACTAATTAGTGACTTGTTGTATGGATTGGTAGATTTATGCACTGTTACAGTGCAAGATTTTTGCGGGCCTCTACGATCTTTTATAGCAACTGATGAGGGGAATGTGGCGGAAGCCGCAGAAGTCATGGAGGAAGACGATGAGGGCATCGATGATGATGACGACGATGATGATGGGAAAATACGAGATGATTGGCATGAACCAACAGTTGTACAATGTGAGGTCTCGCAAGGTACTAGGAACTCCACAACAGAAGAAGATGTACTTAGTTTAGTTTGGGAAGAAGTCGAGAGAGCCAGGCACAACAGCTACACCCCTGGACAGAGATGCATAGGTCGCGAGCGCCGTAGGTTAATTATTTAGAACAACAATGAGGGGCAAAACACAGGCCAAGGAGGTCAGGAGCATAAGCAGTTTCAAAGTCTAGGTGACTATGGCCTAGGGACTTCACAAAGTAATATTCCTACTTGACAAGGAGGTACTGCTGCTGCCCTACAGACTCCACTTCATGGCAATTTTTTCCCTTGTCAACCCTGATAGTGAAACTCAAGAAAATCCTGAATCCCATCGTCGATCTTAATATTTTTTAGCAGTGCTTTTTTTTTACTATTGTGTAATGTGTAATCTCCTTCAATTACTAATTTATTGAAAAAGTACTGCTTCAGGCGCCTAAAAATTTTCTCTGAATCCAATTATGCCTATAATATTTTTTTTTGTTTTGCTTATTTTGTGTGACAATATAAAAAAATACATATAAAATTGAAATATTTTTACAATTTTTTTCTATTTTTTTGGGATTTTTTACTCCCATTTCATTTTGCAGTATAAACTCAGCACTAATCGACCGACTAAATCGCAGTTGGAGTCGGACTAACTAATTTGGTCGGGCCATGACCGACTTATTGGCTCTACTCGTTATTTTGAACACCGGTCAACATGCACTACGAAAGCATGAACTCTGATCCCCCATGGACCACACTCCCAATGAAGTATAATATCACTATAGTCATAATTTTATATGATTTCAGGGCTTTGAGGCCACATAACCCAACATAGAGTAACAAAAAAGCAACCCCTTATCTTTTTTTTAGGATTCAAGAATCCACTTAGATGTGGAAACAAGAACCCTGAAAGTTAGATCCCATCACGAATATGTATTTCACTAATTAAGAACAAAATCAATGAGTACGTACCATAATACGAGCATGAGAAAAAAAGGCAGAACACACACACACACACTATAAGAACATAGATTTATGTGGCTCGCCCTAGAGGCGTTATGTCCTTGGACATGACAAACTAAAATCCACTATACTAATGAGGGTTACATGGCATATTTTGGGACACAGAGAAAACTTCCTAACCCTCGACAAGACCTAATCAAATAACTCATTTAGACCAGTTGTCCTGACCGACATTATCCATCAAATCTCCCATCTGTATTCCATAATTAAACCACTACCCAGAAATTAATCTTGAGAGCAACTAAGACTTTCTCTCACTATAATGAACTATCTCCCAAAATCTCCCGTGGAACTACTTCCATATAAGAATCAACATATTTAGATTGCAGAGTTTCTCTTTATAAGAAGCTCACTTCTCTTTATATAAGGTTCTTACCTCTCTCTTCAAGGGAAGCCACCTTTCCTATATTGTAACCCAATTAGGATACATATTCCTTTATCTCATTCCATGTATATACGTTATCAATCTCATACCGGATATAAATCTTAAAAATGTCACATATATCTTAAAACCTAAAAGATATATCTAAATGTCCTAATCTTATTAGATTTCATTTTTCTTTATCCAATTTTAACCCTAATTGTGGAAGGATTTTTATCCAATGGTGATTTTGCTCATCACTTTCTCACATTGACCATGTCAATATCCATCAGATAACTTTATGATTTTTAACTTTTTTACCAAATAAATCCCTTGGTCATTCATTCTGAAAGATATTTTGCTTATCATCATATTTTTCTACCTTAAATAAAACACTTGCATATTTTGTTTTGTGCTTTTCTTTAACCGAGTGCACAACCATTATTCTCATACCAAATTATCCACTTTAATACCATGTGTGAAAGCTCTAAAATCTGACAGGTTGATTTTTTGAAAAGTAAATAGTGAGAAAAACACAACAATTAAACAACAATCAGGAAAAAAAAAATGAAAGAAATAATGCCAAAAAGAACACTAAAAATTTTAGTGTGATTCATTACAATTGTTACTACATCCACGAGCAAAGACAATTGATTTTTTTTCACTGAGAAATAGAAAGAAAAGAGTATAAGAAAGCCTTTAACCGAGAGAACCAAAGATATAAACCAAGTCTCTCATTAGCCTCTGTACATTTTCTCTCTCTCTATACCCTAGGTTTCTCTTTCTATACAGAAGCCAATGACTCTTGACACCTTAACCTTCTCTCTCTCTACATGCTATTTATAGAGAAAGAAGGAAATCCAAAAGAGACTTAAGTGTATGACTCTTTATCTTATCTTCCTATTTACAGTAAAAAAGCTTATTCCATAAACTCACTCCTTTTAATGAGTTTTTCATATGGGAAATATAAATTCCTAAAAGTAAGGATTGTCTTTCCCCAAAATATGAAAGAATCTCCCACAAAATTAAGAAACCAAAAAGTCCCTTTAAACTAGGAGACCTAAAACCAATCCCAAAAAATAATCCTATGCGACTTGGGATGCAAGACACATCCAACACTCGCACAAGCTTTTGCACGTTCTTCTCTATTAGAGGTACCTTAGATGGGTCAATAATCTCAACTGCCTATTTGCCCCATCTTCTCTATAAAACTCCCATGCACTTGCATGGCTTCCTGCTCGATTTCACCTTCTCTTTCTCTCTCTCTCTCTCTAAATCGCTCTCCACCTTATTTGTTTCTCCATGGCTACTATCTTTAAAGCTGCTATCCTTAATTCTAAAAAGCGACGTAGATCTCTTGGATCCATCTCTCACTACTAATTTTATTTGTGTTTTTCATGACCGTTATTCACTTAAGAATCAGAATCAGAATCAATGGCTTCTCAAACTCTCTGTAGGGAGTGAGATACCATAGAAGAAAAACGATAATCTTTATGGCACCAAAACAAATTTGCAGCAGTATAAAAATAGTTCCATATTTTTTCCAACTTGTATTTGATAAAGTTGCAACTTTTTTGAGCCACGAGGCTCATTTTATTTGACGTCCAAACTTAGCCCTAGAATTTAGAGAAATTTAAAAGGAGCCACCAATTTAAATACCCAACTTGCATGACCCAAAGCTACATTTTAATATCACTAGAACAAAACCAAAGGGGAAAAGAAAACCATGTGATCGTACACAATAGGTTTTGAAAGGTAAATATTCCTATGCTATAATCCACTAGGTTATGAAAAAGGGGCTGCATATTATACAACTAGTTATCTTTAGTGGAAGGCTACAATTACCCTTAGCTTTAGATGCTAAGTTCAACAACTTGAAATACGTTACAAAGTTCAAAAACTTTTTTTTCAAATATAATCAATAGTAAGCAACCAGTCACTTGAATATATGTCCAATAACTAAAGCTGATATTAATATCCTTGTACCAAAATTAAATAAACTTATTGTATACTTTTCTATAAAAATCACTTAAAGAGTTTTTGTAATGAACCAAGTGTGGGGAAAACAGACCGATTTTCTTGTAATTGACCACTTGACTTTGGGCCACACGAGCGATTGCCGTCCAATCAATAGGTGGATGGAGAAGATGGGTCCCGCAATTGGGATCTTGCCATATTCTTATGGTTTCCACTCTCTCCGCCATTGTTCATCTTGCTTGGTTGTTGATGACCTAAACAAGTATGGTTTTCTATTGATCATTATTATCATCTGAACTTTATCCCAACTATTCTGAGTTGGCTTACAATTTTCCATTAATCCTTGGTTTAAAAATACACTTATTTCACTTTTTTATGGTGGAGCTCCAGGGTACTTGTTTGTATGAAAAGCCACAAGAAGCTCCAAAATTGTTTTCGATAATGGGAAAAATAAGACATGCATTTCCGATAGCTTTGCTAAAAAAACCCAAAGAAAGAGAGAGAATGGCATTTGGAAACCAATAAATTGTCTCAGGCACGTGGTGTACATAATTACATAACAAAAATCCCAAAAGATTATGCAATTATGAACCACTACTACCATCGACCACTAATACAAACATCTTTGTACTCCCAGTCAAGCCTCAGGAAGCTACAGTATTTTCTGCAAAACAAGTTCACTTTGTAGAAAAGTTTGCAATTATGAACCTGTATTCCAATCATCTTTATACTCCAGTATGCCTCAGGAAGCTCCAATGTTTTCTGTAGAACAAACATATTCACTTTGTAAGTCGAAAGTCAACCACATGAGAGAGAGAGAGAGAGAGAGAGAGAGAGAGAGAGATTGCCTCTTTAGAATGGCCAGAAATCATCTCCACTGGGCTTTGGCACAAAGATTTGATTGTATTCAGGCCTTGATGTCTGCAATATGATTCAACAATGGGTCCATCACAAAAAGAACATAGAACGAATAGAACTCAATCCTGGTAAGAGCCTTTACATGAGAATTGGGGATATATAGCCATTTGCAGACAGAGGAGAGACATGTCATAATGGTGGCTGGGATTGTACTAAAAAACCAAGCAAAACTATAATTGGAGAACGATAGTGTCTTCAGAGGGGTATTGATTGTCAGATATGTAAAACGGTTTTACAATCGTAATAATATAATTGTTTTGTTCAGGCAATATTCTAGCACTAAGCGCAATGACTAGGCTTGAAACTTTAAGTGCTGCACCACACTATCCAATGTAAAATGACACAAGCTTATGGGCAAAACTTGAAAGTCTCATATTTCTGATTAGTACCTCCAACTGTCGAGCAGTTATTTTCCTCTTTTGTGATTATTCTGATTTTATTGAGCATAATACCATGCAATATGTATTTTGTTCCAAAAAAAAAAAAGATCCTGCAATATGTATGTCTCGGCAAAAATCACAGGTTCCTAAATACCATTTAGTGTACTACAAATGGGTACATCCACATTTTGCAAGACTCCATGCCATATGTTTGCTTCTGGCACACTCCCCATAGTGTCATGTCAAGGCATGTTAGAGGTACTAAGTGGCCGAAGGCACTTTGTGTCTGCCCACTGGCGAACTCCAGGCATTCCTTGCAGGCAGGTGACTAGCGTCCAAGGAGATGTATAGAAACGGTATTATCCATGCTAACCCCATGGCTTAATACTCAGATCATTTGTGAAGGGAACACAAAAATGCCCTTAATGAACTGGAGTTTTTTCCCTTTGATGATTTGCATGAACCTGAACTATTTCAGGGAACAAAGAAGGGAAATTATCAGAAATGTACGTTTATTTTCGTCTAATTGGAAAAAAAACCATCAACTTTAGTAAACTTCGTCGACACCCTTTCCTCAATTTTGGCTTCTTCTTTTTTTTTACCAAAATAGCCTTCATGGTAGTCATACTACCATGAAGCCCAGTACTACCGTGAAGCCCTAGCATTATGGTACTTTAAGTATCGTAATGACTACCCCATCGTATACGACATTTTAAATGCTGTGAAAACTGCCGTTGCATCTCCTATTGCTGAACTTTCAGGCCAATGAACCAAATACAAATTTGAAGTTCCGATACTCTTCAAAGAAACCCTAACTGAATTCTCGATCCTTCAATGAGCATTAGTTGTGCAATAAAGTTTAGAAGTCAAGAAAACATCCATTCTCTTCAGACCAGGGATTGCTCCATTGAAAGCCGCAGAAAGAGCTTGCTCAGTTTCATTGCTGTAGAGATAAGCACAATTGAAATGGTGATACCCAACTTTTAAAGCAGTCCTAACAGATTCTACACAAAGATCTCCTCCACTCTGTGGGAGGAATTAGATGACGTTGCCTCTTTGCCCCCTCCAGATGGTGCCTTGGCAGGGACTTCAATGTTACTAGATGGTCTTTTGAGAGGAACTCCAACTCCAGAGTGTCCCAAGCCATGGTAGACTTCTCTGACTTCATCTCCCACAATGAGCTCAACGACATTTCGACCGAAGGAGCCTCTTTCACTTGGATGAACAACTCTACCTCCTCTCTCTTTATCTAAGCTTGATCGCTACCTCTGTAGTCCTGAGTGGTACTCCACATTCCCCGGCACCCATATCTCAACTGTCCCTAGACCCACTTTGGATCATAAGCCTCTCCTTCTCTATACCCTGCCTGCTTCTGGTGTAACTAAACCTTTCAGGTGTGAACTGACATGGCTTGAAGAGCCAGGCCTACCTTCTCTGATCTCCTCCTGGTGGGCATCCTCTCACCGAGTCAATGGCTGGTCAGGTTTCCGTCTCCAAAGGAAACTCTAGCTTCTCCGAGACTCTATCAGAGCCTGGAATAGACAGCTCCCGGGGAATTTTAAATTTAAAGAAAACTAGGCTCCTGCATTCCATTCACGAGTTACATCTCAATGAGGAGGCCCGGCCCCTTAGCCCCAATAAGCTCCTTCTCAGAACCCAACTCAAATCACACTTTCACTGTACGCTCAGGAAGGCAGAGATTTATTGGACACCCAATGGTCCAGTGCCAAGTGGTTAAAACAAGGGGACTTGAACACGGCTTTCTTCCACATAACAACCAACTGCAGAAGAAGGGACAACACCATTACCCAAATTAAGGTTCAAGACCTTGTTCTCGACCAACCATAGAGAACCAAGAGTGCCATCACAGACTTCTTCAAACAACTCTTTTAGGCACCGATCAAACCTACTCCTAGAATGGCCGATTTATCCTTCCTCTATCACCTTGGACTAGGCCCTTTGGTTGGGACGACCTTTCATTGAGGACGAGATCGTCAAAGCCACAAACAAGCTCGGATAAGATCGAGCCCCAGGTCCTGACAGCTTCCCCATGGCCCTCTTCAAACAATTCTAGGAACTATTACGCACATACATTATATCCTTTCTTGAGGACTTCCATGACAAAGGTGTGATTCACAAAGGCATGAACGCCATGTTCATAGCCCTCATCCCTATGGTGGAAGGGGCTGAAAAAGACTTCAGACCAATCAATCTGATCAACAGATCTTAAAAAATCTTGGCCAATGTCTTGGCCTCAAGACTCAAGGAAGTCTTGCAGTGGATCATTTCACCCCACCAAGAAGCTTTTGTCAAAGAATGTCAGATTTTAGATAGAGGCCTTGTTGCACATGAATGCATCCATTCCAGTTCCACCTCCAAATCCCTTGGTCTCATCATCAAATTGAACTAGGAGAGAGCTTAGGGCCATGTGGATAGATTTGTCTTAGAGGAAACCTTCCTTAGAATGGGCTTCAGTGATTGGTTGCATTTGACATCCTTTCTTCTCTGTCCTCATTAATGGCTCTCCGAGGGGTTTCTTCTCCTCGTCCAAGGGCCTTCGGCAAGGAGACTCTTTCTACCCCTTCCCCTCTGCAATTGTAGCTGAGGTATTCAGCAGATCTATAGCCAGGATGTATCAACATGGTGAGCTTGAGGGTTTCAAGATCAGTAGCACTGCCTACCATTTCCCAGCTTCAATACACTGATGACACCCACCACTTTTGTGGTGCATCGATGCAACAGTTCTATTCCTTACTCCTTTTCCTTAAATGCTTTCAACTGGCAACTGGCTTTAAGGTCAACATGGCCAAATCAAAGATGATTGGCATAGCCCTAGACCCACAAACCACCCAAGGTTTCACTAATAGGTGGGGATGCGAGGTAGACTCTCTACCATCTACATATCTCAGCATACCACTCTATTCTAGCAAACCTCAACTTAGCCAATGGAGTCACATCATTAACAAATTTGCCTGCAAATGGTGGCATGGAATGGGAGGTTCCTTTCCTCAATGGGCCAAATCACCCTGATCAAGGTTATGCTTTCAAATGTCCCCATATTCCTAATGTCTCTCTTTCACATGCCTGCCTCTATGGCTCATCAGATCGAACAACTAATGCACAATTTCCCTTGGTCAAGAATTTTCAAGAAGTATCACCTTATTTCTTGGCACACAGGTTGCAAACCTAAGGCTCTAGGTCGACTGGGGATCCGTAACCTACAAACAAACAATTTGGCCTTGCTTGGCAAATGGTGGTGGCGCCTAGCAACTCAGGAAGGCCATCTTTGGTAACAGGTACTTCGCCACAAGTACGGTCTTGACAGCTCCTCTTGGGTGACTTCCAATAGAGCCAACTGCTCTTCCTCTGGGGCTTAGAGATCGATCCTTCGCAGCCTAGACCCCATCAAATCCCACAGACACTACCATCCTCGAGCTGGGGATAGAATTCATTCTGGTCGACCTTTGGGTCAGGCACACCCCCTTAAGGGACCGTTTCCCTAATCTCTTTCACCTTGCCAGAGCCCCCAACACCACTGTTGTAAACCTTTTCGAACTTCATGGCCATTCCCACTCATGGAATTCTAGCTTCCGCAGACAACTCCAGACAACGAGGTCCACTCTTTCCTTGAGCTTTCATCCATTCTTCCCACCCAGGGGTAAGGACAAAATGATTTGGATCCCTGCTCCCTCTGCAGTCTTCTCGGTCTCCTCTTTCCACCAAAAACTTGACTCACAGCGGGCCTCCTCCTCCCCACCCCAGTCTATGGTTGTAAAACCTGGTTTTCTTTATCCCCACTAATGTAGTGGGTTTTTTAATTTTTATTTACTACTTTTAGATTTTAGGATTATTTGCGCTTTCAGATTCCTTTAGGGTTATCTTTTACTTGTATATTTGTATAGATGTCAAGGGTAAAATTGGAAAGTTTATTTTATTTTAAGATAAGAAGAGAGATCAGGTTGGTTACAAGAGAGATGAGAGGGAGTTGAAGCAATCTCCCATATTTATGGGATTTACATGAGAGAGAGAGAGAAATGTTGGGTAGAGAGAGAGGTTTATTGATTTTTTATTTATCTCTTTTTAAGTTTGTATTTAAAAGAAAGATTTCTTGTTAAGTTTATATTTAAAGGAAAGAGGTCCTTTCTTTGCAGAAATAGTGAATAAAGAGAAGAAAGAATTTTCTTTGATCTTGTGAAGAGATTGTTGGGGTGAACACCCTTGCAGACCCAGAGAGAGAGTATACTCTCTCATCTTTTATTTTATATATTTATTTTTTTATTTAATAATTTCTTTCATACATTAGTTGATATCAAAGTAGGTTGATCAGGCCAGTAGATTAGAGCGATTGTATTATGGAGTGTATCGATCAATGGGATCAAATATTTGAGCGATTGGATAAAAAATGTGAGAAAATACTAAAAAGTCTACAAGATCTACTTGTTAGAATATTGCAACAAGAGGAACAAAAGCGTGATATGGTAGATCTTGATGTGAAAGATGATGTCAATAACCCAAATGCATGAGAAATTTCGAAAATCAATTATGAGGAAGAAGATACGTTGGTTGCGATATGTGAAATCCAACCTTGTGAGCCTGAGGAAAATTCAAGATTTAGTTTGGGAT